TTCCAGTAGTAGTATTTGTTTAATGGCTATTTTGTCTTTCAGCTTTTGGTTCATTCTACTGGAATTACTGAATTCCTTAAATTGTGTTTCAACACTTTCCTGAATCTCCATGAGCTTTCTTCCTATCCAGATTCCGAATTGTCTGTCTGTCATTTTAGTCATTTCAATGGGGTTAAGAACCATCGCTGGAGAGCTCAAATGCACCCATTTTAAGTTTAAGGTACATTCTTACCTTTTGAATTGCCAGATTTCTTGTTGATTCCTTTAAATCTTGAGTGGCTGGTGTTCGTTTAACTGTGGTACAAGTTCAGTATGGTCATTTGGGTTAATTTCTGGGATAAGACTCTGTACAATATTTTTATTTGTAGGTAGATTCTTGCTCTCAGTTTCGTACACAATGTATACTGGCAAACTATGTTTGAAGCCAGGCACAGTGGCCCAAGCCTATAATTCCAGCACTTTGTGAGGCTAAGGTGGGAGGATCACTTGAGGCCAGAAGTTTGAGATCAGCCTGGGAAACATGGAAAACCCTGTCTCTACAGAAAATAACAAATATTAGCTAAGTGTAGTGGTGTGTGCCTGTAGTCCCAGCTACTTAGAAGGCTGTGGGAGAATGACTTGAGCCAAGGAGCTCGAGGCTACAGTGAGCTATAATTACTTCTCTGCACTCCGGCCTGGGTAACAGAGCGAGACACAGTCTCAAATTTTATATATATATATATATATATGTATGTATACACACACACACACATATGTGTGCATATATATATAAACACACATAGATACGTGTGTATATATATTTATATAGATGTTTATCTATGTTATCTATGTTTATCTATGTAAATACAGATGTTTTAAATTGAGCTGTAATCCAGTAAATGGTGCTTAAGAGTAATGGCTGCCAGATAAACTGTTACTCAGGGGCATAGCTCTTTTGTTTTTCAGTGTGTTGACAACAGTGCTTGTGGCAGCAGGGAAGACAGATGACCCCCATAACAGGCTTACTCCTGGGCCTTGGGGGATGCCCTCTCTGGTCACTGGTACCATACTTGTGTTTCCTTTGTTAGGAAACTGTTCTGAGCCATGGAGCTCCCTCAGGCAGAGGCAGGAGCTAGCAGACAGGACACAGCCTTCCCGGACTGGGCCTATGAAAAGAGGCATGTCTCATTCTGCACTGGCCCATGACCCCATGCATCTCACCCCTCTCAGTGTTCTGAGCTTGGGGGCTCCTCCTCTGCTTGAGTGCTTGGCACCAATCTCAGCGCACACTCCCAAGCTATGCACTGCAGCCCTGAGGTTTTGGGACTAGCCTGTGGCTCCATTGTCTGGTCCCTCTGGTTCAAGCAGTAGCTACACTGGGGGATCTGAAGTGCTCCAAGGACACTGAGGAAGTACCCAGGTGGGAGTACTGGAAAAAACCCTCAGGCTGAGCAGTGGAGGCTGTGCTGTGCACATGTTCTTGCAGGTGTGGCCAGGCAGGAGTACTGGGAGGGACTGGCGGGCAGAAGGGCCTACAGTACAGATGTGTCCCAGCTCACAGGAAACTTGGCCCCACTCTCTCTTGGCTCAGCAGTCAGGTGAGTTGAGAGCTACTTGGTGGAAGAAAGGGAGCATTGGATGTTGGACACCTACAGCTGCGTTCTGCTGCAGCTACCCAATATGCAACCCCTCCTGGGTTCAATGCTGGCTGTAGTTCTATTTCTGTCCACTCTCTGGGCAGGTGCCTCTGCCTGTTCCACTGTCTCTGGGGGTCGTGGGTTCTCTTGTAGGTAGGATCCCAGATGTCATCAGCAAGAATAGGCTGTTCCACTGCCACTTTACTCACCCCTTAGCTAGGAGCCATTCAGGGCTGGAAACTATCTCTGGTGTTCAACAACCTTGCACTGGGTTTCCAGTTTTCTCTCTCTTCAGCCTCAGTGTCTGTGTCACCTCTATTGACTTTCAGTGTTTTCTCTCAAAAGATATGCTGGAAGTATGTTAGTTTACTCAATATTTTGGGCTTCCTCAGTGGAAGTGGTGCTTCCTGAGTGTGTCCAGTTGGCCATGCTGTCCCCTCTAATAAGTTTAACTTCTTATAATAGATTTGTGTATATTTTATGGTAGTAAATGATAAAATAGTTTAGTATCTAAACATTTTATGCACTCATGACATACCTTTTTCTTAGGGTTTTCTACATTTCTACACTATGCAATTCATCTATAAATTTTCTCAAATTTTCACAAATCTCCTCAAAGGTTTTCAATATATTTCTTGAAAAAATCTGTACATAAGTGGACAAACATAATTTAAACCTATTATTCATGGGTACACTGTATGTTTCAAAATCTGTTAAGAAGGTAGATTTCATTTTAATTGTTCTTACCACAATAAAAGAAAAATAAGAAATAAAAAAGCATATGCATACAGAAACATACACACCATAGTAGTTTGTGGCACAATTAAGTGGTACCATTACTCTGATCTATAAGAAAACTCGTTAGTATGAGATAACATTGACTTGATTACAAACTATCTAGAAATAATTTATTTTCAAGTATGTACAGATTTAAATTTGATCTATATGATCATATTGTGTCATAATCAACAACTCAGACTTCAGGAAATGATTGGTTAAATCAGTGACTCCATCTACATGCAAAGTATTTATTCATTACCTGTGACAACTGTAATTTTGATGACTTTTTTTTCTGTTCTTTCACTGTTCTACACATACTAACTAAGGGTCATAATCTCGCTAGATAGGACCTGAGAAATAGTTTTTCTTGGCTTACTCACAGTCTTAAAAATTGAAAAATTCTACATAAAAATTTTCGATTTTGGATTTTCTTGGAAACCAATCAGAAGTCCTTGTCAATGCAGGGCCTAAATTTGTGCGTTAAAAGAATAAGCCAGAGCTGAGGAGCACATGTGCTTTTGGACCTGTGGGGAGAGCAGTTCACAACCAAAAAAATTCTCCTATTCTAACCATCACACCCTAAATTCCTGTTCCTGGCACTTTTTACTCATTTATTTTATCTCTTCAGCTCCTTTAAGCATTGGAGTTTGCCAAAGTATACTTTATAAGTGAAGCTCATACTCATCACTGAATAAGAGAAGATATAATAATACCTGAATATTCAATGTTAGAAATTGTATCGTGATAAATTATAAAATCATGTAACGGTTTCTTAATAGAGAGCTTATAAAATAATTTACCTAAGGACATTTACCACTTATTTCTGTACTCTTCGTGATAAAGCAATGATGAAACTGGAGTTGAATGAGTAGAAATAACATACATAACATGTAGCTACTCTAAGTCATATGTCTAACACTGAACATGTAAAACATTTTATCAAGTATTTTCTTTATAGTTTTAGATTAGCAAACACTTTCAAGCTTTTGGCTGTTGCTGGCCCACTGTGATGTCTACCTCATCGTGGAAATGGATCCTTTGATCTCTTTGGAATGATCTATTGAAGTCCTAGTGAGATAGAAAATCATACTTATTCATTCACAAACATAACTAATTATTATTTGCTAAGAACATGTCATTCTGTCATGTGGTAAAGAGATGGCAAGTAAGCACACAAGTATTAATAGCTCATTGTGAGAAGGGTTACAATAAAGGCATGCTCTTGGCTATTCATTTGGGACTAATAGAAAGTGGTGAAGTAAGGTTTCTCTAGGAGGAGCCATATTTTGGAAGAGACTTCAAGAACTATGCAAATGAAAAAAGGGAAAAGTTTTACCAAGTGTAAATGCAGAGAAATGTGAGATTACAGGGCACAGTAACTCAGTCAATACTTGAATAAGGTATGGATATTAATCAAGAGAAGAAATAGAGGGAATAAAGTGGGTTTGGAGGTAAGATGATGAGATCAGATTTTGACATATTGCACTTTAGGTGCTGATAGGATATCTAAGAAGGGAAAACATGAAGAAGAACTGGAAATATCAGTTAACACAAATGATAGAAATATACCCATTTACAGATCTATAGCAAAGTAGGTAGAAATCAATTGTGTTTCACTAACAACAGAAGCAGATTATGCTGGATTGAGAAGTGGATGGGAGGTGAGAAGGAGAGATATCTTAGCTAATTTAGTTGATATTTTCCTAGGTGCTTGGCTCTGAAGAGGAATAAAAAAAGATTCAGCTAGAAAGTTGTGTGGGGGTGTAAAAAACTGTAGCTATGTATAAAGATGGGAAATACTTGAGTGTGTTTGCTGAATCCAAGAGAAGATGGAGATAAAGAAACAGGAAGGGAGAATCTAAGCTCCAGCTAGATCTATCAGCATTGGTTACAGATGGATATATTTTCCACTGAGTTGGGAAAAAGAAAAAGAAGATAAAGACAGATATGGTGCAAGAATATTTTTAGGGAAAAGGGCCTGAAGTCGAGACAGTTTTTATAACATGGCATCACTTTCACCTATGAGACAAGAAGGAAAGTATGCTCTGAGAATGAAGAAGAAAATCATAGATTTAATTTATGTGTCCTCTGCTTTATTCCTTTGTTCAACAAGTACTTACTGAATGTTGCCCTATGCCAAGTCCTCTGCTAGGACCAGGGAAAATGACCATAAATTACACAGTGAAGTCTCTCAAATGACTCTAGCCATAAACCAATGCAGCAGCCAGAGGAAGACTTTGGCAAAGCAAACTTTCAGTTCTACACATCAACATCCAAGCCACCATCAACTGAAAAATAAAATTTACTTGACTGGGCCGTCAGTTTGGGAGGGAGACTTTTTACATTTGGTTATTTTGGACCAAGCTCATGAAAATAAATTTGTTTACATTCTCTCATTTTACACTTAGCTGTAAAAGATAGTATAAATGGGAGCTAGATTTTATATTTATTCTGATTAGTAATGCATTTATTTCCCACTTGTAACTTTCTAATTATATTAAGCAAAGGACTATTGAAAGAGTGAATTCAGTTATTTGGAAAAATGTTTTCTGCGTGTGTGCTTAGAAAGACATTATCATAGTACCTTGTTCTGGTTGCACTTACTTAGATCTACAGATCCAATATCCACGTACATTTTAGAAAACAGAGATCCCAGGGTAAAGCCAATGATTGGACCAATCATTGCGATTGCATTCAATATACCTGAAAATATTATAAAGCAATTTTACTAGATGCCAAGAATGCATGGCTCTTATTCACCATGTTTTTAAAAGAAACATGATACAATTCATATACCCAAATATATGTTCTAATAGGTGAAATAATAAGTTTAGTAACTCTACTATTTCAAAAGTAGACAAAGGGAAAGTGATCATGCAATTTAATATTTTGTGTACATTACCTAAATACAAAGAAGAATGTCCTTCTTTAGCAAAATCATCCATGTAAGAAAGCCCCAGTGGTACTATGGGAGTCTCCCCTATTCCCCGAAGCATATTGCCCATGAACACATATATCCACATGTATGACCCAGATTCCTTCACACAACCTGTGTAGATAAGAGAGTGTTTCATTGTAAACATTAATTTTAGCATTTCTATTACAAATTCAACTACTTAACTCTTACTCTACTCTTTTTTTAAAATTTACAAGTACAAGTAATTTATATTCACTTTGCAAACTTTGAAAATATGGTCTATTAGTCCATTTTTATGCTGCTAATAAATACATACCTGAGACTGGGTAATTTATAAAGGAAAAAGGTTTAACGGACTCACAGTTCCTCATGGCTGGGGGGCCTCACAATCATAGTGGAAGGTGAAGGAAGAGCAAAGACATGTCTCACATGGTGGCAGGCAAGAGAACGTGTGCAGGGTAACTCTCATTTATAAAATCATCAGATCTTGTGAGACTTATTCATTATCATGAGAACAGTATGGGGGAAACCGCCCCCATGATTCAATTATCTCCACTTGGCCCCACTCTTGGCATGTGGAGATTATTACAATCAAGGTGATATTTGAGTGGGGACACAGTCAAGCCATATCATATACAAAAGCATAAACAAGTAAAAATTATCTGTAATCACACTGCACACAGAAGATCACCTCAAGTGTTTTTATATATCTTCCAGATTTGCACAAAATATGCGCATTATACTCATTATGTCCATTATATATTTAAAAATCCAATTCATATTATGAAATGGTATACACAGTTAACCATTAACCATGTTATACACAATATAACCATTGCTATATTATAACAATTGTTCCATGTTGTTAAGATTTTTTTAACATCAAAACTTTAATGACTGGACAGTAATGTGTTGAATAAGTTTCAAAATGTGTTTATTCAATATCTTATTTTTCATTTTCTTTTTTATTGTTTTATTCTGTTAGGTTTATCATGACTATAACTGTAAATAAGTCCTTTTGCAGTTTCCTGGTTATTTCCTCAAGATTAATCAATAATAGCAGAATTTCAGACTAAGTAGGTAAGTATATTTTTGTTCTTAATATATGTTGATAATGAATCTCCAGAAAGATTTACAAATGTATACACTTTCAGCAATATATACAATGTGAAATCCTTTTTTGCCTCCACCTCATTTCTATATATTTTTAGTCTTTTTCTATTTAATAGGTTTAAAAAAATCCTTAGCGGTACAATTTGCAATTATAATTTATAATTTTGGTTACAATAGGCAAAAAATCTTTAAATGATACAATAGTTTGCCTTTTGCATTGAAAGCAAAGTTATATGATTTACATATTAATACTATTTCCTCCTGTTTTACTTTAATGCATATATTCTTTGTCAATTTTCTACTGAAAATATTCTCTTTTCTGATCTACTTCTAAACGCTTTTACATATAATACAGTCATCCCTTGGTATATTAAGGAATTTGTTACAGGGCTGCCTGTGTGTTCTCAAATTCATGCACACTTAAGTTCTGCAGTTGGCCCTGTGCAATCCAAATATAGAAAATGTCAGATATTCTTATTGGCAGGTTTATCACCCAGTTTGGATGGACAACATTTGCATAGAAGTGAAACCACATAGTTTAAACCTGTGTTGTTAAAGAGTCAACTGTGTACATTAATACTATAATTATGTCTGTAAGAGTCAAATGTTTTTCCTATTCATTCGTAATTAAATTTTGCTAGTGAATATCACAACAATTTTTAGAGATGTAATTAAATTTATACATGTTGGAAGACTTCTTACTGTCAATGTTAATTCTTACCTTTTCCCACTATCTCAGGTGATGTTCTATTGAGTGATACAATTTGATTAATTAAACAGGTGGATAAGGTCGATGTTGAATTTTCTGATGAATCAATATTAATTTCTTTAGAATACCTGTAACTGTAAGGACATCACTGAATTAAACATTTTGCTTATCTACTGAATATTTTTACTTTTCCTAGAAATACAGAGAAATATTCCCCTTTATTTGCACCATTATCTTCCCCAAATTACCAGAATCCTTTCTGTCAATTTCCCAGCATGTGTTTTAAGAGATGTGATGGGTAAAAGTGAAACGGAAGTGTCCAGCAAGAAAGATAATTCGGTACACCCCAGGCTAGGTGGGTTATCACCTTCCTATTATCCTAGGAGTGGTTATATTTTGGTCAATATATGAAATACCCTGGTTTCACCTTTTTAAAAAGTAATTATTAATTGCATGTAACCATTCATCCTTTTGAATTATCTTCAAAGATGATCAGTCTGTCAGATTTTCTTTCATGGACACATATTCACACACACGCTCTAATGTATGACTCTTCAAAACGTAGTAAAAATAAAATCTAGTCCATTTCAACTACATGGGAGAAAACTTGATAGGAATAACAGAGATGTTAATATCTATAAATAATTAGCTACCATGTGAGCTCTAAAGGCAGCCTACTGTATTCCAGGCATTATGCTCAGCTTCAAAGAACTAGAAATAAAATGCACAGTTTTTGTACTTAAGGAATTTCACACTAATATAAACATATATGATAAAATGTATAAGTTTAATATACAAGGTCCTGAGTTGTCACAGAGACAAAAGATATGATCAGCTTTGCTTGGAGGTTGTAGGAAGAGATCAGAGAAGACACCAAAATAAGAATGACAGGTAAAACGAATCTTGAAGATGAATAGAAGGGTAGACAAAGAAACAAAGGTATTCAAGGCTGTAGAAATAACAGGTGCAAAGGTGTCACACATTATGTCATATTTAGAGAAATGCTGATCTAGACTGTTGTCCTTAATTTTAGGGTGGAATGAAAGATGAAGCTGTGACAGTTGCCTTTGAGGTTTATTTTCCATACAAATCATGACAAATAATAAATAAAGATTAAAAAGGGAATTAGGGGACTCTGACGGTATGGTGCCAAAAGCAGAGGGAAAAAAAATGGACATGATGAAGAAGACACAAAGATAGAAAATGAATCAAGAGAGTACAGTATGATGAAAACAAGCTAGAGCAGTGCCACTAAGAAGAAACTTTTTATAAGGGCCAAATATGGCAGGGAGATGGAATTAATATGGTTAGCAAATGACATCATTGCTGGATTTGGCAATGAGAAAGTAATTGGTGTCTCTAACAGACACTGCTCCTTGTCTCTCAATATTCTTTCTTCTTTCCTTCCACAGTAATCATAGTTGGGATTTTTAACTGGGAACATGGTATCTTGGAATAACGTCTATTTTTTTTTAGCATTTATATAGTTATGTGTGCAATGTAGCCCATATATGGTAAATGTAAAGTCAGTGGAGATATTTTGCTCCTGAAAATGCTTCTTAAGCCTCAGCCTGTGTGAACTGTTTGTTTCTTCTTCTTCTTCTTCTTCTTCTTCTTCTTCTTCTCTTCTTCTGTCTTGTTGCCTGGAAATACATTGCCATAATTTGGATCATGAGGCCAAGGCCATGCAAGGCATAGCACTACGATGGAAAGCGGTAGAATCATATCATCCTTGAACTGGCTACATTAACTTTAATGTGAAAAATAAGTTTCTCCCTCATGTGCTATTTTAACTTTTCTCTGAGGAGCATCTGACTGTAATTATAACTACACAGTGACCTTAGGAATAACAGCTTCAGCGAAATGATGGGAACACCTATACCTCAGTGGGTAGAGGTATAAGTGTTGAAGTGTTATCAAAAATAATCAAAATCTCATAGGCAAAGACATACAGTATATATGTTATACTAAAAACTCATAAAATGCCTATGTATTTCATTTGAAACTCTACAGTTTAGTCTTTTTGTTACTTCAAAGTCTATGAAAGCTATGATAAATAAAGTGATTATGTAGACAAATAGACACTATTTCTATACACACTTAGTGGGTATACTTCTCAAAAGGCAACTGCCTATTTCAAGGGATAATAATAAAATTCTACTCCTAATTTACAAGGTACTGATAGTTACTGGCACAGAGGCTTTCTTTTTTTCTTTTTTCTTTTTTTAAACACTTACTATCCCATGAAGAAATGTGGCAAAGCAGTCAAAACACCTCCAATTCCCATAATTAAACAACCGATTCCAATTAACTTTGGTCTGTGTAGTTTGGATCCAAAGTAACTCACAAATACAATCACAAGCAAATTTCCTAGAAAGAGAACAAAAGTATGTTGATACAACTTAGCTCAATTTTGCGTCTGGAATTGAAAACCCCAGAATGGATGCAAATAGAATCCAGACATAGTGCCTTCCCTCAAAGATGATGTAATTTAATTGAGAAGGTGAATTCACCTACATTAGACCACTAATTGAAAAGTTGTTTTAAATACAAAAAAAAAAGCACTTGAATTACTTGGCAATATTAGTGAAGCAACATTTTACTGAAAAATTTGGAGTTGACTGGATTATATTGCAATGAAGAAAAATGGAGATGAATCTTCCTGATCTGAGGGTAAGGTGCTCCTTCATGCATTTCTTTTTTTATTCTTAATATTAGTTAAATTTCTATCATGTACCTGACATGAAGCTCACAGCCAGAAATAAGAAAGTTAGTTGAAAAAGAATAAACCATGGCATCTGTCTTCAAGAAGTTTCATACTAATGACAAAAACAGAGGGACAGAGCTGGTATTAAACCACAGAAAGGGGGAATTTAATCAAGAGCTTCCAGAGGCTGGGCGCGGTGGCTCACGCCTGTAATCCCAGCACTTTCGGAGGCTGAGGCAGGTGGATCACGAGGTCAGGAAATCGAGACCATCCTGGTTAACATGGTGAAATCCTGTCTTTACTAAAAATATAAAAAATTAGCCGGGGGTGGTGGCGGGCGCCTGTAGTCCCAGCTACTCGGGAGAATGAGGCAGGAGAATGGCGTGAACCCGGGAGGCAGAGTTTGCAGTGAGCCGAGATCGTGCCACTGCACTCTAGCCTGGGCGACAGAGCGAGACTCCGCCTCAAAAAACAAAAAAAATTAAAAAAAAGGAGCTTCCAGAAAGGTCCCTGGAGGAGAAACCACTTGAGATTTAATGTCGTGCATAAGTCATTTATATTAAATAATATACATAGAGCATATCAAATGGAAAGAGTCATGACCACTTCTAATCCTTCTGGAGCCTCATGCATAACAATGAACAAATAGCAGTTAAGGATTACTGAGCATTTATGAAAAAAATAGCATAAAAATAGTTTGGAAGAAAAGCACTAAAATGAATGAGTAAATTTTTTACTTTATAAAAAATGTAGTGTCTTTAGGAGTACAAGGGCACATTGCATCCATAAAATCAGAACTGGCAGCCTAAAAATAGTAAGTGCTGTTGTAAATATAAAATATAGATATATATACAAATTAGAACTTGATATGGTAAGATGACTGATGGCATCAGCAAAGATTAATGAAACATAAAGAAAAACAATAGAAATTTAGGAGAAAAAAATTTAAAGAGAAAAATTCCCAGAAAATTTAATATTCATCTCATAAATGCTCTAGAAGAAAATAACTAAATAGGGAAAGACACAAATATGAACCAGAAAATGTTTTCCCTGAGCTATTATTGGAGAAATCCAAGTTAAAATGAAGACAACAAAATATCTTCAATATTTCAAAGGAAAGATTTTGGTGTGCTCAGTGAAACAATAGAAGTCTAATGTAGGTTGCTCTGAAAAGATCCCTTTCTCCTTAAGAATAACAGTCCTCTCCCAAACTTTCTTCATCTTGAGAGAGGGGAGGTAAAGTAGGACATGGTGTTAGTTTGCAAAAATTGAATTTGTGTAGAATCAGGGTTTCTGAACATCCTCACTATCAACATTTTTGGCTACATCATGCTTTGCACATTATAGAATATTTAGCAGTACCCCTGACCTCTACTTTAGATACCAGTAGTACTTCCCTTGCCCCCTAGTCCCTGTCCAGTTATGACAACCAAAAATGTTTTTGGTCATTGCCAAATTGCCTGTGAGAGATAAATTTACCCCAGTTGATAACCAGTGGTGTAAAGCATATATATTTTTTTAACTTTGCAAGTTTGGTTATTAAAATAGAAAAAAATAAATGTTACCAATTTCAAAGCTTCCATCAATAAAACCAACAAGAGAAGAGGATATCTCAAATCTCCTTTCTATATGAATGATGGAACTTTTCATAACAACTGCACCTAGTGCCTTAGCAATAAAGCTGAGTGCCAGAGCTGCCAAGAACATCTGAAATCAGAAGGAAAGGGGAAAAATGGTTAATCAAAGGACTATATAATGTCAACAGGCACATGGAATTATAATAGCTTTTCTTCTTTACTTAAAAACATTATTTGTATCTTAAAAACCATACTTAGTTTTCCCTCTTACCAGGTACTACTAATCAGGTACTAACATTTAAATGTTATTATTACTACACTGATAAAGCATCATTTCTAATTTGGTTATAATATCAAAATATTACAGCATTGCAGTTAAGATTGTTATTTTAAAATTAATCTCATTAACTGATTTATAGAAAGCTACTTCACGTTCTCAGATGGCCATGATGATGAGCTATTCTTTATTTCCACGTGAATAGCATTGGCTAACTGGGAGGGGAGTGGCAGTACATTCTCAAAGGTAGCATTTCCAGGAAGCCAGCTGAAAAATAGAACTTTTCAGAGGCAAAGAAAAATTCTATGACCAACACAACTGACTGGCATCCAGCATAAGATGCAGTGGTTATAGATGTTTTATTTGTCAATTTCATGTTAATAAAATGTATCGATTAATCAGTTCTCTTACAGCTCACATTTATATCCATAAACAAATTTCTTTGGGCTCTCTACTATTAACATTTACCTTGTTATATATTAGATGTTTATATCCCCTGCCTCAAATTTATATGTTGAAACTCTAATTTCCAATGTGTTGATATTTGGTGATAGGGTCTTTTTGAGGAAATTAGGTCATGAGAATGGAGCCCTCTTGATAAGATTAGTGCCCTTATAAGACAATAAATTAGAGATTCTATTTCTCTCTCTCTCCTCCCCGCCAAGTGATGATACAACAAGGATATGGCCTTCTGGAAACCAGGAATATGGCCCTTTATCAGAACTCAATTATGCCAGAACGCTGATATCAGAATTCTCAGCCTTTGGAAATGTGAGAGATAAATATCTGTTGTTTAAGACACCAAGTCTGTGCTATTCTGTCAGTCTGAACTGACTAAATGACCCCTTCTAATTACCTCCTATATTTCCCAATGGTTTCCACCACCATGCCTAGCTTCAATTATTGCAAGAGCCCCCTAAGCCATGTGTCTACTTCTGTGCACATCTACCTAACAGTCTCTTCTCAACAAAGTAGCTAAAGAAGTCCTTTATAAATCAGAAATAGACCATGCTGCCCCTTTGTCTTCCCATATGGCTTATAGTAATATCGAGTTTTTTCCGATAACCTATGAGACCATAAACAACCTGTCCTCTTTTTTACACCCACCTCCCTACAAATATTTCTCTTTATCTTTCTAATCTTATACTTTGTTACTCTTGTCCTTGGTCATTCCTCTCCAGCTACATTAGACCTACTTGTTGTATATTGAGCATTCCAAATTCATTATATTTCTCCAGGATTTTTGTTCTTTTCACTTGACATGAAAGGCTCTTCCCCATAGTCGTATTTCTGTCATTCATTCCTTCACACCCTTAAGAGTTTTGCTCAATGGAACTTTCACAGTAAGGTTTTCCTCAACCACTCTCTTTAAAATCGCACCCCTTTCTGCACATAATACATTTATTCCTTTATGTGTTTATTTTATATTGCCACAGCAGAATACTAGCCCCATCAAGTCATAGGTTTTTGTCTGTTTTGTTCATTGCTCCATCCCCAGTGATTAGGACAGTGCCTGTCACAAAGATGCTTAAGAAATAATGAGTGAACATTTATATAACCAAAACCTACTCTGTGTCTTGCCCTAGGCCATGTTTGGGGGATAGAGATAAAAGGCCCCCCGCAAAAAACTCTTTGATAGCTGACGAAATGTGGGTGTGTTCCTTTCTGCATAAGAAACTGTAAAATGATACATGGTATCAATGAAGATAAAAGGAATGGAAAAAATTTATTAAATGATACAACTTACGGAGATAACTAAAAGTTTTAAAATAAAATATAAAAAGTTATCTACGAAACAGCATAAAATGTAGAAGAGTATCAATACTAGTTGTACTAAGTTGATGGGAAGAGCAAGACAGGAGAAATGGGCAATGAAGTTAGGCAAAAATTATGAAGATTTTCTTTAAAGATAGTCAATTCTAACATCTTGTAAAAATGTATACAGTCTTTGTGCCATAGAATAGTGATGAAAATTGTTCAGGTCCTAATCATTAAAAAACCATTTTATTAAAAAGGACTAAAAAATGTGTAAGATAGTGACATCAGCAAGACAGCAGAACAGCCCTGGAACCTCAACAGCAAGGCACAATTTTAACACTATATGTACTAAATGCCTCTGTAGGAATTTCAGACACCAATTACAAGGTTTCTGTACCTCCAGACTATCGTGAAAACAACCTGGCAAGAAAAATCATGATTGTTTCCAGTCTCTCTCACTAGAGTCTTTCTCACTCCACACTGTGCAATGCAGTTGGAAGGAAACATTTAATCCCCTATGTTCAATATTTTGATTTTTAAGGAGGTTGCCCAAGGACTGGCTTCTGACTTGCCTGTATTCAAGTACAAATAAAAATAGGGTCTTTCAAAGCAAAGGCAACCAAAGGTGCACCAAAACTGCAGTTCCAGACATAGACACTAGGTGGAGCACCAGTACAACAATTTAATGCAGCCCCAGAAAGGCCACTCAAGCAACAGGGGAGGGTCTTTTACAGAAATCAGCAAACCTTTTCAAACAGATTACACACACAAGCCTAAAGGAGAAAGAAAAGAATGTATACTAGAAAAATAGCATGAGTAGGCCACGGAATCTCTATCCAGAATTAGTGAGGAGAGTTCTCCTTGTAGAAAATCATCTCACAAAATCTGGGAGAGTTGGCTGATTTTTGAAATGTTAAAATCTCAACAACAAAAGAATACAAAGTATAAAAAGAAAGAAAGGATTCTCACACATTAAAAGGAAAAAAATTACATCTCCAGAAACTGACCGAAAACAAATGAAGATACAGGAATTGCCAGACATAGGACTTGAAATTAGTCAAGTATGTGCAATGAATTAAAAGAGAACACGAACAGACAACTAAATGAAATGAAGAACATAACAAATAAACAAAATAGGAATATTAACAGAGTAGAAACTATGAAGAACCAAATCGAAATTCTGGAGTTGAAGTATAAAATAACTGAATTGAAAAATTCATTAGAAAGACTCAAAAGGTAACTTGGCTAAGCAGAAGAAAAAATCAGCAAAATCAGAGACAGAACTTGTAAAATTAGAGTCACAGGAGCAAAAAGAAAAGAAGAACAATGAAGAGCCTAAAGAAATTATGGGACACCATCCAGCAGGGCAACATATGCATTATGGGAATACCAGAAGAGAAGTAAATGAGAAAGGTCTGAAAATTTGTAAATTATGGCCCCCAATTTTTTAAATCTTAGGAGATAAAGGAACCCAAACATTTAAGAAGCTCAAATAATTCCAAATAAGATAAATCTAAAAAACTGTATACCAAGACACAGTATAATCAAACTGTCAAAAATTACACACAAACAGAGAATCTTAAAAGCAGCAGCAAAAAAACCCATTCATTTAGTACAAGGAAGCTGACAGCTCTTCAAGTGGTGTTTGGAAAACTGGATACCCACATGTAAAGAAATGAAGTTGGGCCCTTACCCTATAGTATATGCAAAAATTAACTCAAAATGAACTCAATACCTAAATGTAAGACCCTAAACTTACAGAAAAAAAATAGAAGAAAAGCTTCAGGACATTGAATTTGGCAAATTTTTAAATATGATACAAAAAGCACAGGGAACAAAATTAAAAATACTCAAATCAGACTATATCAAACTTAAATCTTCTGCACATAAAGGAAAACAACAGGGTGAAAAGATAACCTATGGAATGGCATAGAATAAATGCAAATAATATAAGTGGTGAGGAGTTAATATCTAGAATATATGGACTTTTCCAAGGAAATAACAACGACAAAGAGCAACCCAATTTAAAAATGGGCCAAGGACTTACACAGACATTTCTGCAAAGAAGATATACAAAGATCCAATAAGCACATTAAAAGATGCTCAACTTTCTAATTATTAGGGAAATGCAAATTAAAACCACAATGAGATATAACCCCACAGCCATCAGAAAAGTCACTATTTCAGGAATAGAGAATAACGAGTGTTGATGAGAATATAGAGGAGTTAGGAACTTCATGTTTGTTGATGGAAATATAAAATGGTTCAGCCCTCATGAAAAAGAGTTTAGAGGTTCCACAAATACCAAAAAATAGAATCACCATATGAGCCATTTAATTCTTCTTCTGGGTATATATTCAAAATAATTCAAAACAGGATCTAGCAGAGATATTTGCACATGCATATTCATTGCAGTATTATTAACAACAGCCAAGAGGTAGAAGCAACCCAAATGTCTATTGATGAATGAATAAAGCAAATGTGGTATACATACACAATGGAATATTATGCAGACTTAAAAAATAAGTAAATTACATCACATGCTACAATATGGATGAAACTCAAGGACATTATGCTAAGCTAAATAAGTCAGTCACAAAAAGAGAGATACTGTATTATTCTACTCATATGAAACATTTAAAGTAGGCCGGGCGTAGTGGCTCACACCTTTAATCCAAGCACTTTTGGAGGCCAAAGTGGGCAGATCACGAGGTCAGGAGTTTGAGACCAGCTTAGCCAACATATTGAAACCCTATCACTACTAAAAATACAAAAAAAAATTTACCTGGGCATGGTGGCAGTCGCCTGTAATCCCAGTTACCTGGGGGACTGAGGCAGGAGAATCGCTTGAACCCAGAAGGCAGAGGTTGCAGTGAGAAGGGATTGCCCCACTGCTGCACTCCAGCCTGGGTGACAGTGCAAGACTCCATCTCAAAAAAAAAGAAAAGAAAAAAAAAGAAAAAGAAAGAAATATTTAAAGTAGTCGAAAAAATAGAAACAGAAAGTGGAAAGGTATTTACTAAGAACTGAGGAGAAGATAGTTTAGTGGATACAAAGTTTCGTCATTGGAAAATGAAAAAGTTCAAGAGATCTGT